TTATATTTCCCTGCCTCTGAGTGCGGGTCTTGCCCCTGGCGCACCCCTCTCCTCCCTCCCGGTCTGCCCTGCAAACCCCAGCATGATGTAACTGCCTTGCATAAGGTCTTCCAGAACCACTCCAGCTCCCCGGGGCCTCTCCATCTACATGTGTCTACAAATCCACTTTCCAGCCTCACTGCCAGGTGACCAATTTCTCTCTCAGCTATTCCTAGCTCAGTACCAGGCGTCTAGGAGGCGCTCAGGAGAAGGTTCCAGAAAGAGCAGGTACACCTAGGTGCACAGACGAGGCCAGTGGCTCTCTTCCATCACGGCCCACTGTGCCAGCCCCATTCTTCCAGGGCTGAGGCCTGGGGCGGCGGGGCTATGTGGCAGGACGAGCGTCTGCCTGCACTTGGGGCCTCTACCTGGGATTTGTCTGTGTCTCTAAGGCATCCAGCAGATTCTCGGCGGACAGGATTAGGTGTTCCCTGGCCTCTCCCAACAGGGAGGTGGGAGGCCTGGGCACTTCGTGAAGAAATCAGACTTGGCTTGGACTTGAGAGGAAGGTCTCCTAGCCAGAAGAGGTGCCATCACCTCCCTGGAGCTGAATGCTGGGCTACCTCTCCCCTCACCCCTACCATCCACCTGCCACTCCAGGTCTGCTCTTAGGCCCCAGCCCGCGCCCCGTCCAGTGTGTTCCTGCGGCCTCCCTCCACCAACACTCCCGGCACGTCCGTCATGTTGTGAAATATCTGTTTGGTCTTTGTCCTTATTTTGTGACATACAACTCCTGAAATCCTCAGAATCTCTGTGGCGCTGTCTTTCTACGTGCTGGTGTTGACTGATAGCTTCAGGGTGGCGCTGGTCACTGGGAAGACCAGGCAGGATTAGTAGGTTAGGACTTTCAGCCCCACCCCTAAACGCAGGGAGGGGAGAGGTCCAGAGGTCGAAGGGCGAGCTGATTGTCAGTGGGTTGATCAATCGTGCCTACTTAATGAAGCCTCCACATAAAGCCTAGAGGACAGGACTTGGGGAGTTTCTGGACAGCTGAACAGGAGGGGTACCTGGAGGGCAGCACCGTGTCCCTCTCCCGTACCTCACCCTAAAGGTCCTGTCATCTCTGTCCTTTGTAACAACCTTTTTATTAAACTAATGAATGTAAGTATTTCCCTGAGTTCTGTGAGCTGCTCCAGCAAATTAATTGAACCCAAAACAGGGATTGTGGGAACCTCAACTTGAAGTTGGTCCCTTAGAAGTTCCAGAGGCCTGGATTTCTAACCGGTGTCTGGGTGCGTGGGGAGCTTGAGGACTGAGCTCCTGACCTGTGGGATCTGAGCTCTCTCCGGGTAGATGTCTCCAGGGTTCGGGATTGAATTGGAGGATGCCCCGCTAGCGCCCGCTGTAGAATGGATTTCCTGCTGCCTGGAGGAACCCCTGCATTTTCTGGGTCGCAGAGCCTGTGCCGATGGCTGTGCTGGTGTCAGAGCAGAGGGAAACATGGTTTGAGAGTAGTTCCAAACAGTCCAGTCACCCTGGAGCAGAGCTCTCTCAGCCACCCCCACACCGTCCCTACCATTCCCACCTGACCCACTGCTCCCCCTGCCCCATGGATTCCGGGCACTCTGAGCTTCGCTGTCAGCTCACATCCCTGCGGCTGCCTGGCAGGTGTGGTCTGTGCTCAGGAGTGGGTGGAGCCTGCCGGCCTTCCCGCAGCACTTAGCTAGGTCCAGGAGCGAGAGTTTTGGATTCTGCCAGGGAAGCCCGCTGAGAGGAGTGCGCATCTCCTAACATGTGAAACCCGCAGGGGCCAGAGTGCTTCCTTCCTGTTGTCCCTGGCTGCCGACACTGGGGTTCCCCACACATGGAGCCCGGTCTCATTTCCTCTTCCTCTTCCTTCCCGTCCCACTCCCAGGAAATGATGAGGGATTGCTCAGAGCAGGCAGGAAGAACTGAGAAGAACACAGCTGATGCCCACGCCCTGTTCTGCGGCCCTGTGACTGAGGCCCAGCCAGACAGAACCCCTGGTCCTTGTTAGCTGCTTCTGGGAGGGGGGCTGATCCTGTGGCCAGGATGGGTGTGGCGGTCAGGCCAGGCGGGATGGGGCCCAGGCCTGCAACCCCAGCTTTTCAACCTGGAGTCCTAGCGAACGCTGACCTACCTTGGGACGGGGCTACCTTTTGCCCAGGGGGCTGCAATTGGCCCCTTGGTAGCATCTGGGAGTGCGTAGGGTACCCTCTGTGCTGTGGGCCTTGCCCCCAGGGCTCTGCCTCCAGCCTGCGCTCCTCTGGCATTTGTCTAAGAACCATCTGTATCGAAACTGGCTCTGAAAACTTCACAGTGGGGCTTTCCTGGGCTGGAAGTCCTTGTTCATCGCTCGCCCCTGCGTCCAACATCCCCAGTGGCCTGGGCTCCCCCAGTCTTCACCCTCTGGGTCTAGACTCTGCCTTCCTTTCTCCCTGGCTTCTCTGTCCCAACCCTTCCTCCTCCAGGGCCACCAGGGGGGATTTCTGTAAACACAGATGTCAGCCGGTCACCCGCCTAGACTCTCATCCTACCCCGTGTGGGGGCACTCGCCTCTTCGCCCACCCCAGCCCCTCAGCACTGCCAGGATGGCCCGGTTCGCCTTGCCCACTCTTGCCTCTGGGTGTGAGGGGCACCGTCTCCAGCCACAGGCTGCCTCCACGCCTTTCCGCCCCTTTCACAGCCCTGACCTTGGGGTTCCCCTAGCACGTCCTGAGCTGCCGAGGTTGACAGCCTCCTCTCAAGCCATCTCTTCCTGGCACAGAGGAGGCACCTCAGTGGAGGTTTGTCACATGACGACCTGCGGGATGAGGGAGCCTCTGTCATGTGCTGCCTCCTCCCGTTTCCTGTGACCCAGGACAGGAGCGGTCCCCAGGAAGGGAGGCCCGTGTCCAGGATTGGCATTGGCGATGTTAAAATGTCATCACCGAGGCTAAATGTGTGTTCTGTTTTTGTCACATGAAACAGAGTTTGTTTTCTAATCCAGTTGCTTGGGAAAATCACATTCCTCCCAAAGAAGTGAGACGTGCAGAGGCCTCGTGACTCAGGCACTCAGGCCTGGAGTTTGGGGTTTGGGGACAGCAGGTGGTGTTGCTAGCAGGAGCCTCCCCGGGGTGGTCTTTGTCTCCAAGACTTGTGGGAGGGCCCTGGGCACTAGAAATGGCCAAGTGCTCTAGAGTCCCAGACCTGGGTGGATCCTGCCTGTGCTCGGGGACCCTCTAGAGCCTCTCTCGGAGGTCCTCTTTGTCCCAGGGTAAAGGGAGATGAGCAGGAAGTTAAGTCGCCAGTAGCCAGCAGCTGTGGGGTTGTGTTCCCTGAGGCTGGGGTGAGGCCCTGGTCTGCTGGAGGGGAGGGGCCAGCTGCCCATCGGGGTCCCTCCTGCCCCACTGTCCACGGTGAGGCTTCACCTCCACCCACATCCATGCTCCCTCCCACCTGCCTCCTGGCTAGAAATTAGCTCAAGGCGCCACGCCCTTGACAGACGCCCCTTACCCATCTCCTGGCTGCCTCCCTCTTCCTGTGGGCACCTTCAGAGGGTTTGCTTCGGAGGATGGATTTGGGGTGTTATTGGGGCTCCCATGGAGTGAGGACAATAGGCTGCTGTTGGGTGTTCTTGGCTGAACACCGGTCAGCACGTGGTGGGTACCTGTAATCCCAGCTACTCGGGAGGCTGAGGCAGGAGAATTGCTTGAACCCAGGAGGTGGAGGTTGTGGTGAGCCGAGATCGTGCCATTGCACTCCAGCCTGGGCAACAAGAGCAAAACTCCGTTGTTGTTTTTTTAAAAAAAGCTATGTGCAAATGAATATGAGTGATTTCTATTTCCCCAAAATGTTAACTTGGTATGTCGGGTGACGTATATGACCACTGTGCCCTCTGGCCACAGGGCACAGACCTAGCTCTGCCACATGTGAGAAGGGGCCCCTTAAATGGCTACAGGCTTGCAGACCCCCACCCCCTCATGGTCCCAATGGCTCTCCTGGGTCCCAGCAGTGCCTTTTTTTATTTTTCTGAGACAGAGTCTCACTCTGTCACCCAGGCTGGAGTGCAGTGGCACAATCTCGGCTTACTGTAACCTCCACCTCTCTGGTTAAAGCAATTCTCCTGCCTCAGCCTCCCAAGTAGCTGGGACTATAGGCATTCGCCACCATGCCAGGCTAATTTTTTTCTATTTTTGGTAGAGACAGGATTTCACCATGTTGGCCAGGCTGGTCTCGAACTCCTGACCTCAAGTGATCCTCCCACCTCGGCCTCCCAAAGTGCTGGGATTACGGGCATGAGCCACCTCGCCCAGCCAACTTTTTGTTCTTTTTTTAAGAAATATTTGTGGGAACCGAGTGAGACCCTGTCTCAAAATGAATGAGGCCTGGTTTGGGTAACTCACTCCTGTAATCGCAGCACTTTGGAAGGCCAGGGCGGGCAGATGAGCTCGAGACCAGCTTGGCCAACATGGTGAAACCCCTTCTCTACTAATAACACAAAAATTAGCCAGGCATGGTGGTGGGTGCCTGTAATCCCAGCCACTCTGGAGGCTGAGGCCGGAGAATCACTTGAACTGGGGAGGGAGAGGTCACAGTGAGCTGAAATCACGTCACTATACTCCAGCCTGGGTGACAGAGGCTGTCTCGAAAAAATAAAAAAGTAAATGAATGAATGAATGAATACAAATATTAGCTTCTCATCTGCAGGTACCCTGAGCTCTCAAGTAGGCATGTCATGTATGAGGAAAGGCTGTGTGGGTCCCTGGAGGGGCTTCCTGGGTAGAAAAGAAGCTGCACCAGGTGTGGAAGGCAGCTTGGCTGTGGAGAGACGCATAGGACGGACTGGCGCCTGCGAGAGAGCTGCCCCCTGACCCGTGCAGTTGAACCTTCCTCCGCAGGACAGACTGGGCATTGACCTGCTGGGACCATTATGTCCTGGGTGTTCCAGAGCACCTTCCTAGTGCCAGGCCTGGGACCCTGTAAGGATGAGACAGTCCTCAGGCGGCTGGGCTGAGTGCTTTCTATCAACAGACTCAGTAAATCCCGCAGCAGAACAGGGACTGGATCCTATCCCTTCCCAGTTTCCCACTGTGCTTAGACTACAATCCATGGGCCCCATGGGTGTGTCTGTGCTGCCCCCTGCGCCCTGGAGCAGGGCGGGCCTGTTGCTCCCTCAGCCTTTGCACCTGCTCTGCCGGTGTCTGGAGTGCTTCGTCCTCCACAATCCCGGCTTCTTCCTTCTCACTGCTCTGACTCAGTGTCATCTCTTGGGGGAGGTCTACCCTCAGGACCCTCGATAAATTAGCTGTCACCCTCCAGACCCACTGTGTGGACCCCCACCCTCTGAAACTGTCTCTATCTGTAATTCTTGTGACTCACGTGTGTCAGGTGAAATTTTTCCTCTTTTCCTGGAATTGCAGGCTGGTCCCAAAGACAGGAGTAGGCTTTCCCACTCCATACTCAGGGAGCTGCTGGTAGCTGGGCTGACAGGTGCCACCTCGGAGAAGCAATGCCACCCCACCCCGTGCCTCTGCAAGGAACTCGAGGATGGTGGGGGAGCACCATTTAGGTGAGGGCAAGGCAGTGTTGGTGGCGAGAAGTGATGCCCTCACTCCTCAGAGGCCCAAGGGAAAGTGGCTTCCCCCCACCAAGGGAGGCACCCCCGCAGGGCCCTGCTGGCACTGTCTGCCCTGGGCTGCCTGAACCCAGAGACAGTGTGGGATATACTGTTTGTGGGGTGTTATCCTAATGTCATCTGAACTCCACCCAGTGAGTCCAGAGTGACGCTCAACCCACAGGGGCTGTTTGGGAACGGATGCCCGTGAGGAGGTGGGTGTTCCTCGTCAGCTCCACTCTGCAGACACGGCAACTGCAGGTTAGGGAAGATGCAAGGCTTGTCCACATTTCAAACAAGCAGGTGTCACAGCCGGGCTCTGCGGGCCGTTTCCACAGTAGCCCCTGCCTCGCCTCCCTCTTCCCGGCCGCCGCCTCCGGCTCCGCACTTTGTCAGGAGTTGGGAGACTATGGGGACAGGCGAGGCCTTGTTCGCTGCGTGGGAGCAGGTGTGGCTTATGACGTACAACAGCAGCAAGCCCGCGGGTAGATGACAGGGAAGGCCACTCAGCTGTGAACACTCACTTCCAGAGTGGAGGCACTCAAACCCATAAGTGTGCCAGCCCGGAGTATTTTAGGTTTTTGGTCAGTTTCCACCTCCCGTTACTTCTTCATCTCAGTTGCCAGTTTAAAGAAAACCTCACTCCGTTGTGAATGCAAGAAAAAGGTTTGGCAAGATATATACCAAAATGTGAATGGCGATTCTCTTTATGTAGAAGGGGAGTGCGATTAGAGGGTAATTTAAACAGAACCCTATGTTTTTACCCTCTCATTTTGCTGCTGTTTGACTTTCTGTTATTTTTCTATTCATATATCACTGGCATAATAAAAGACTTTTTTTTTTTTTAGACGCATTTTTTTTGGACGGGTGTTGCTCTTGTTACCCAGGCTGGAGTGCAATGGCGCTATCTTGGCTCACCGCAACCTCCGCCTCCTGGGTTCAGGCAATTCTCCTGCCTCAGCCTCCTGAGTCGCTGGGATTACAGGCACGCACCACCATGCCCAGCTAATTTTTTGTATTTTTAGTAGAGACGGGGTTTCACCGTGTTGACCAGGAAGGTCTCGATCTCTTGACCTCGTGATCCACCCGCCTCGGCCTCCCAAAGTGCTGGGATTACAGGCTTGAGCCACCGCGCCCGGCCAATAAAAGACTTTTTAAACCTAAGGAAACCAATCTGGACCTCGTTTTTATTTATGTATTTATTTATTTTTATTTATTTGTTTTCAGATAGAGTCTTGCTCTGTCACCCAGGCTGGAGTTCAGTGGTGCAATCATAGCTCACGGTAACCTCCGCCTCCCGGATTCAAGTGATTCTCCCACCTCAGCCTCCTGAGTAGCTAGGACTGCAGGCACATGTCACTACACCAGCTAATTTTTGTGTTTTTAATTTCACTCCGTTGCCCAGGCTGGTCTGGAACTCCTGTCCTCAAGTGATCTGCCCACCTCAGCCTCTCAAAATGCTAGTGTTACAGGCATGAGCCACCATGCCCGGCCTGTCAATTAATTTTTGAGATAGTGTCTCATTCTGTCCTGCAGGCTGGAGTGCAGTGGTACTGTCATGGCTCACTGCAGCCTCGACCTCCTGGGCTCCAGTGGTCCTCCCACCTCAGCCTCCTGAGTAGCTGGGACTACAGGTGTGCACCGCCGTGCCTGACTAGTTTTTGTATTTTTTTTGCAGAGATGCGGTTTTCCCATGTTGCATGGGCTAGTCTTGAACTTTTGGGCTCGGCCTCAAAAGATCCTCCCCTCTCAGCCTCCCAAGTAGCTGGGATTATAGGTGCATTCCACCATGCCTGCCTGTTTTCTTTTCTTTTCTTTTCTTTCTTTTTTTTTTTTTTGTGTGTGTATGTGTAGAGATGAAGTCTCATTATGTTGCCCAGCCTTGTCTTGAACTCTTGGCTCAAGTGATCATCCCGCCTCAGCCTCCCAAAGTGCTGGGATTACAGGTGTGAGCCATTGTGCTGGTCTGGCCCTGGTTTTTATAGATGCTTTAAATGGGTTGTTGCCTTGTGTGCACAGGCCCAGAAACATCCTACTCTGTTTTTGGGTGGGGGCTTGGGGAGCAAGAGAGAATCCAAGGGCTCCCTCAGGGACTTTTGCATACTTCCTTGGCTCGAGGGTCCCTGAGTCCAGCACATCCCTGGATCATTCGCGGCAGCAAACACAACTTGGGATCTGCATCTCTCTGAGGGAACTTTGTAAGGTACAGTCACAGCTTTTACTGTTTCCAGTTTAATATTCAACCTGCATCTAGGGCCAGCTGAGTGGAGGCTGGTGCTGCTCTGCCCAGCTCCTGTTCTGTTTAGAAACATGTTTATTGCCTCGGGAAGGAGCCAGCTCTTTCACCCAAACAGGATGGGCCTGGGGTTCCTTCAGAGGTTAGTGGACCCAGAGCTGGGAAGGAGGGATGGAAGTTGTGGATAACCAACACATGGAAGGATGTAAGTGGACCCATGGGCCTGGCCTTCAGGACCAGGGGAGAGCCCTTGCTGCTTTCCCTCCCCAGACAAAGCAAACCAATCAACGGTCTTAAGGGTTTATTTTCTTCTGAGGCCTGGTCCTGCTGTGGGCAAGCCTTTTCCAGTGGGATATATTAAAATCAACTTTGGTGGCTGACACCTATATTCCCAACACCTTGGGAGGCTGAGGCGGGAGGATCAACTGAGGTCGGAAGTTCAAGAGCAGCCTGACTAACATGGAGAAACTCCATCTCTACTAAAAATACAAACTTAGCTGGGCATGGTGGCACGTGTCTGTAGTCCCAGCTACTTGGGAGGCTGAGGCAGAAGAATCGCTTGAACCCAGGAGGCAGAGGTTGCGATGAGCTGAGATCGTGCCACTGCACTCCAGCCTGGGCAACAAGAGCAAAACTCCGTCTCAAAAAAAAAAAAAAAACAATGTGGCTTTAATGTTTTTGTCAGAAAACTTTGTTTTGATGAATGTTTTCTGTGAGGAAGTTCCTGTAAAAGCAGTATCAATGGATGTGTGCCTGAAAGAATTGAAAGCAGGGACTCAGATATTTGTATACCCACGTTCATAGCAGCATGGTTCACAGTAGCCAAGAGGTGGCATCAACCCAGGTGTCTGTCCGTAGATGAATGGATAAGCAAGACGAGGTCTGTCCCTACAATGTAATGTTATTTGGCCTTAAAAAAAGGGAAGGACAGGCTGGGCATAGTGGCTCATGCCTATAATCCCAGCACTTTGGGAAGCTGAAACAGGAGGATTGCTGTAGCCTAGGAGTTCAAGACCAGCCTGGGCAATTGGTCTTGAACTCTGTCTCTATAGCAAGACTCTGTCTCTATTTAAAAAATTATTTGAGGCCTGGTGGTACGTGCCTGTAGTCCCAGCTACTCCGGAGCCTGAGGCGGGAGAATCACTTGAGCCCAGGAGTTTGGGGCTGCAGTGAACTATGACTGTGTCACAGCACTCCAGCCTGGGTGACAGAACAAAGGCCCTATCTCAAAAAAAAAAAGGAAGGACACGGCTGGGTGTGATGGCTTGTGTCTGTAATTCTGGCTACTTGAGAAGTTGATGTGGGAGGATTGCTGGAAGCCAGGAGTTCAAGACCAGCCTGGGCAACATAGCGAGACACAGTCTCTAAAAACAAAACTGCCAGGTATGGTGGTTGATGCCTGTAATCCTAGCATTTTGGGAGGCTGAGGCAGAAGCATCGCTTGAGCCCAGGAGCTGGAGACCAGCCTGGGCACATAGTAAGACCTCATCTCTACTGTAAAAAAAAATTAGCCAGGCATGGTGGCTCACACCTGTAGTCCCAGTACTTTGGGAGGCCAAGTTGGGGGAATACTTGAGCTCAGGAGTTCAAGACATCTCTACCAAAAAAATACACATCAGCTGGGTTCCGTGTTGTGGTCCTGTGGTTCCAGCTACTTAGAAGGCTGAGGTAGGAGGATTTCTTGAGCCTGGGAGGTAGAGGCTGCAGTGAGCCATGATTGTACCACTGTACTCCAGCCTGGGCAACAGAGCAAGACCCTGTCTCGGGGGAAAAGAAAAAAAAAAGATATTATATGATTCACCTATATGAGGTACCTAGAGTAGTCAATTTCATAGAGACAGAAAAATATAATGGCGGTTGCCAGAGGCTAGGGGCGGGGAACAGGGAGATAGCATTTAATCGATACAGAGTTTCAGTTTGGGAAGAAGAAAAAAGGTCTGGAACTGGATGGCGGTGATGGTTGCACAACAATGTGAATGTACTTCATGCCACTGAACCGTACACTTAAAAATGGCTAAAATGGGCTCACGCCTGTAATCCCAGCACTTTGGGAGGCTGAGGCAGGTGGATCACGAGGTGAGGAGTTCAAGACCAGGCTGGTCAAAATAGTGAAACCCTGTCTCCACTAAAAATACAGAAAATTAGCCAGGCATGGTGGCACCTGTAGTCCCAGCTACTCAGGAGGCTAAGGCAGGAGAATCGCTTGTACACGGGAGGCAGAGGTTGCAGTGAGCTGAGATCGTGCCACTGCACTCCAGCCCAGATGACAGTGTGACACTCCGTCTCAAAAAAAAAAAGGCTAAAATGATAAATTTTATGTTATGGGTATTTTACCACACACACAAAAACACAGCGTCAAGGTGCTTTCCGAAGACAGTGTGTCGCAGATGTAGGTTTGACACTATGATTTTTACTTTTTGCGAAATATTTTAAAGTAGTATTTGCCTTGTAATGGGTAGGTAAATGTTCTAGCTACAGGAGAAACCAGAGTGGTCTGGTCACTATCCAGAACTCGCTGAAGCAGGCCCCTGTGGCATCTCTGGGAACTTGTGCCATCCCAGGGAGAAAGGTTAGTCTGATGTGCATAAGCAAACCTTGCAAGTTTTGTGCCCAGGATGGTAGCCTTGGGCCAGAGCAGCCACCCGTCATCCAGAATCCCACAGGGCACACCTTATCCACTCCTTTTGTGTTCGCCTGAGCCCAGCGATGCTGTTCTCAGAGGAGCACCAACACCGCCGCTTGACTTCTGGCTCATTTGGATCCAGAGATGTGCAGTTTTAAAGCTGCAGCACCTTCCATGTAGGTCACAGCTATCCCTTGGGAAACCCACCTGCTCCTCACCAGAGATTCCTCCCTGGAGCACCTGCCTGAAGCGTAGCATTCGAGCTGGTGGTTTTAGAAAGTGAAGAGCTGGCTTCAGAATCCCAACCCAGACAGGGCGGGACAGCATAGGCTGCGTCTTTCTCACTGTGCACAGCCGGTTAAAGAGAACTGGAATGAAGCATCTCTCTGCTCAAAGGGATCTTCTCAACTGGGGGTTCCTTTTCAGAAGGCCCCCTGGTGCAGGGTAGTGTTTGGGAGCCTAGGGTGGACCATGCTCGAGTGGAGAGGTGTTTTCAGCAGGGTCAGTCTCTTTTTTTGGTAGAGATGGGGTCTCACCGTGTTGCCCAGGCTGGTCTTTAACTCCTGGCTTCAACCAGTTCTCCCACCGTGGCCTCTTGAGTAGCTGGGATTATACATATGAGCCTCTGTGTCCGGCCAGCGGCCAAGCTCTTGAAGGCCTTCTGGGAACTCTAGCTGTAGCCCCTCATTACTCAGAATCTGTGTGACCTGGTAACTTCGTGAATTCTGTGAAAAGAAGTTATACTCCAAAGTTTGTAATGGCTTCTGAGAACAATCACTTAAGTAGGAGCCCTTCTAATACTTACACTAAGATTAAGCCAAACAATGTGACTGGGCACTGTGACTCTCACTTGTAATTCCAGCATGGTGGGAAGATCACTTGAGGCCTGTGATTCAAGGTCAACCTGGGCAACAGAGCAAGACCCGATCTCTTAAAAAAAAAAAAATTAATTAATAAAAAACAAAACAGGCCTGAGCCTGGCACAGTGGCTCACACCTGTAATCCCAGCACTTTGGGAGGATGCAGAGGGTGAACTGCTTGAGATCAGGAGTTCAAGACCAGTCTGGGCAACATGGCAAAATCTCATCTCTACTAAAAATAGAAAAAAATAGCTGGGTGTGGTGGTGCCTGACTTGTCCAAGCTACAGCTACAGCTGAGGGGGGAGGATCACCTGAGCCCAGGAGATGGCACCACTGCACTCTAGCCTGAGTTTCAGAGCAAGAACCTGTCTCAGACAAAGCAAAACAAGGCCTGGCACAGTGGCTCACGCCTGTAATTCCAACATTTTGGGAGGCCAAGGCAGGAGGATTTCTTGAGCCCAGGAGTCAAAGACCAGCCTGGATGGCATAGTGAGACCCCCATCTCTACGAAACTTAAAAAATTAGGCCAGGCATGGTGGCTCTCGTCAGTAATCCCACACTTTGGGAGGCCAAGGCAGGTGGATCACCTGAGTTTGAGACCAGCCTGGCCAACATGGTGAAAGCCTGTTTCTACTAAAAATACAAAAAAATTAGACAGTGTGGTGGTGCACGCCTGTAGTCCCACCTACTGAGGAGGCTGAGTCAGGAGAATCACTTGAAGGGGGCAAAGGCAGGGAGCAGCGGCAGAGGCTGCAGTGAGCGGAGATTGCACCACTGCACTCCAGCCTAGGTGACAGAGTGAGTCTCAAAATAAAAAATTGCTTTTCACGTGTTGCGAGGGCCATATCGCGGTCTCTCCTTGCCGCGGTGCACCAGAGCAGAGTACGAGTCTGAGGCTGAGGGAGTCATGGCAGGACAGGCGTTTAGAAAGTTTCTCCCACTCTTTGACCGAGTATTGGTTGAAAGGAGAGCTGCTGAAACTGTAACCAAAGGACGCATTATGCTTCCAGAAAAATCTCAAGGAAAAGTATTGCAAGCAACAGTGGTCTCTGTTGGATCGGGTTCTAAAGGAAAGGGTGGAGAGATTCAACCAGTTAGCGTGAAAGTTGGAGATAAAGTTCTTCTCCCAGGATACGGAGGCACCAAAGTGGTTCTAGATGACAAGGATTATTTCCTATTTAGAGATGGTGACATTCTTGGAAAGTACGTAGACTGAAATAAGTCACTATTGAAATGGCATCAACGTGAAGCTGCCCATTCCACGGAAGTTCTGAAATCTTTCATCATGTAAATAATTTCCATATCTCTCTTTTATAATAAACTAATGATAACTGATGACATTTAGTGTCTCCAAAATTGTTTCCTTGTACTGATATAAACATTTCCAAATAAAAATATATAAATGAGTGGTTAAAAAAAAAATTATCTGGGCATGGTGGTGGACACCTGATGTGCCAGCTACTCAGGAGGCTGAGGCAGGAAGATTGTTCCAGCCGTTCACGGCTGCCGAGAGCAGGGTTGCGCCACTGCACCGCACTCCGACCTAGGCAACAGAGCGAGACCCTGTCTCAAAAGAAAAGAAAACTATGCCACATACGAAAAAATATGTTCTTTAAGGGCCGGGCGCGGTGGCTCAAGCCTATAATCCCAGCACTTTGGGAGGCCGAGGCGGGTGGATCACGAGGTCAAGAGATCGAGACCATCCTGGTCAACATGGTGAAACCCCGTCTCTACCAAAAATACAAAAAATTAGCTGGGCATGGTGGCGCGTGCCTGTAATCCCAGCTACTCAGGAGGCTGAGGCAGGAGAATTGCCTGAACCCAGGAGGCGGAGGTTGCGGTGAGCCGAGATCGCGCCATTGCACTCCAGCCTGGGTAACATGAGTGAAACTCCGTCTCAAAAAAAAAAAAAGAAAAAAATGTTCTTTAAAATGTGAACCTTGAAACACACACGCTAAAAATGTTTTTTTAATCCTGCAGGGTGTGAGATGGCAGACAGGTTAGCAGAAAACCCACGGAAAGGGGGCTGCAGGATTTAGCCACTCTGTGCTCCCCTCCTGGCAGCCCGGGGCATCCTTCTGAGCACAGCGGCACTATGGACTCTCCAGGATACAACTGCTTCGTGGACAGAGATAAGATGGACGCTGCCATCCGGGACCTGGGGCCCAAGGAGCTGAGCTGCACCGATCTGCAGGAACTGAAGCAGCTGGCACGCCAGGGCTACTGGGCCCAAAGCCACGCGCTGCGGGGAAAGGTGTACCAGCGCCTGATCCGGGACATCCCCTGCCGCACAGTCACACCCGACGCCAGCGTGTACAGCGATATCGTGGGCAAGATCGTGGGCAAGCACAGCAGCAGCTGCCTGCCACTGCCTGAGTTCGTGGATAACACGCAGGTGCCCAGCTACTGCCTGAACGCGCGCGGCGAGGGGGCCGTGCGCAAGATCCTCCTGTGCATCGCCAACCAGTTCCCGGACATCTCCTTCTGCCCCGCCCTGCCGGCCGTGGTGGCCCTGCTGCTGCATTACAGCATCGACGAGGCCGAGTGCTTCGAGAAGGCCTGCCGCATCCTGGCCTGTAACGATCCAGGCCGGAGGCTGATTGACCAGAGCTTCCTGGCCTTCGAGTCATCCTGCATGACATTCGGGGACCTGGTGAACAAGTACTGCCAGGCGGCCCACAAGCTGATGGTGGCCGTGTCGGAGGACATCTTGCAGGTCTATGCGGACTGGCAGCGCTGGCTGTTTGGGGAGCTGCCCCTCTGCTACTTTGCCCGGGTCTTTGACGTCTTCCTAGTGGAGGGCTACAAGGTGCTGTACCGCGTGGCACTGGCCATCCTCAAGTTCTTCCACAAGGTGAGGGCCGGGCAGCCGCTGGAGTCGGACAGCGTGAAGCAGGACATCCGCATGTTCGTCAAAGACATCGCTAAGACGGTATCCCCCGAGAAGCTGCTGGAGAAAGCGTTCGCCATCCGCCTCTTCTCCCGAAAGGAGATCCAGCTCCTGCAGATGGCCAACGAGAAAGCCCTGAAGCAGAAGGGCATCACCGTGAAGCAGAAGAGGTAGGTGCCCGGCGGGCTGCAAGGGACCCGCCCAGGGTCAGGGGCTGGGGTGGGATGTGTCTGGCATGAGCTCATCCAGCTGGCCTCCAGGCAGCCTCTGCCCATGGTCCACCAGACATCTGTGTATGGCTGAAAAGACACTGAAACAGGAAGGGCCTTCCTGGTTACAGCCACAGACGAGGGACGTCGGGTCCTATCCTCTGGGACCAGGCCCACAGCTGAGATGAAAGCTGATGCTGGCCCTGGGGTCAGAAGGCATTGCGGGAGGCCAGGCGCACTCCCTGGGCCATTTCAGGGCAGCCCCTGCTCCGCCCCTCCAACTCTGGGCTCTGTGGCTGGTCGCTGCTGTGGCTGATGGGCGTGGCCTCCCCACCTGGAGCATAGCGCCAGGGGAGCAGGGTCAGGGGTTCATGGTGTCCTGTGTCCATTCGGTAGCCGGCGCTGTGACGGTGCCACGCTGTGGCCTGTTGGCGTGCAGTCCTCTTCCTTCTGGGCCAGCGAAGGCCTGTCCGGGATCGGTACTTACACTAATCTCTCCTTGTCTGTTTTATTTTTCTTCTCCATGTCCGTTGCTTTCTCCTGTTTTTCAGTGTGTCACTTTCTAAAAGGTAGGTCTGAAACCGCGTCTGCACGCCTGGCCTCTGCCTTTCCACCAGGCTGACTCTAGGCCGGTTGCTTGCTCTGGGTCCCAGGGCTGCTCTCGCGGGCCGGCTTCAGCAGCGCTGCCTCTGAGCCCGAGTGATGCTCAGGCACCTTCTGTCTGTCTCTCTGTACGTCTGCCTGCCTGCCTGCCTGTCTGCCTCTGTTGTGCCATCTGCCGGTGCTTGGCTCGCCATGAAGCCTTGTCTTGCCAGAGCAGTCACTCTGTCCTGATTTCTTAGAGAAAAGGTGCTTTGTCCCCATCCAGGCTGGGCACTCTCCCTCTGTAGTGGGTGGGAGGTGGGGCTCCTGGGAACTTTCTCCCTGTTGGGCATCTAGAACCCAGCCCTAAACACACACAAGAAGGCGAGAAGTTCCCTCCGGACTTAGTTTCAAACGAGCTCCGGGGCACACCTTGGGGGCATGGCCTGGCCCTGGATGCGCCCTCGGACTCTGACCCTGCTCGCTCCCCTCAGGCAGTTTGTGCACTTGGCCGTCCATGCAGAGAACTTCCGCTCGGAGATCGTCAGCGTCAGGGAGATGAGAGACATCTGGTCCTGGGTCCCTGAGCGCTTTGCCCTGTGCCAGCCCCTCCTGCTGTTCTCCTCCCTGCAGCACGGGTACAGCCTAGCCAGGTAACACCCCAAAGGGCTGCCCAGCCACATGTCCTGCCTGCAGAGTCAGGCAATGGGCCTCAGCCCTGGGCACCTGCTGAGGCCCTGCTTCTTCCTGTGGGGCCTGAGAATCGGGGTCCCTTTCTGGGCTTCTGTCCTCCCCAGGCCACCCAGACTTTGGGGGTCATGGCCAGGCTTGCCACAGCTCAGGCCTTGCAGGTGTCGTGAAGACGTGGGAGGGAGAATCCCCACCTCGGAGCTCCCGATACTGACTGGAGGGACCACATGGGCAGCAGGCCCCAGCTGTGCTCACCCCCCGCCCTATCATCCATGTGGTGTTCTGTCAGGGCCCCAGGTCATGCTGCCATCCAGGGTGGCGCTGCCAGGTGCAGCCAGGGAGGCTTCCTCCAGCCTTGGACAGCATGTGGCCGTCGGAGCTCTGGCTTGGCTCTGGGGTGACCTGGAGGTGAGGCAGGCAGAGCTGGTCCAGCCCCCACCTGGTACCGTTCACAGGTTCATAACACCACAAGCATTTTGGCACAGCTGGAGCCACTTCTCCCAGCTCTGCCAAGGACAACAGCCAAGCTCTGGGCACCACGTTGGCAGACCCAGGCCTCTTTGGCTCCCACATGCCTGGGCTGTGAGGATGGGCCAAACCTCCCCACTGTGGGGACCTGTTCCTCTGGTTCCTGCTTCCTCAGCCCCTGGCACTTGGCTCTTCACTTTGGCCTTCCGCTGCAAAGCCTCTCTCCCAAGTCACACCTGGGCAGGCTGTCTTGGGGATGGCAGAGAAGAGCCAGGCAGGAACACCTGGGTATTCTTGGGACCCAGAGAAAAGAGGCAGCTCACGGGTCTTCTGCCCCAAGATAGCCAGGACCAGCAGAGGCTGCAGGAGGCGGCAGGGAGGGTGTGTAGGGTGAGAGCTGGCACGCGTGTCTCTATGCCAGGTTCTACTTCCAGTGTGAAGGACATGAGCCTACCCTCTTGCTCATCAAGACCACGCAGAAGGAGGTGAGCAGGGGCCCTGGGAGTCAGGGTTGGCTCTGATGTCTCCAGGGCCTCAGCATCCTAGCCTGGAGCCAGAGTCAGAGCATGGATACTGGCAGCACATGGGGCTCATCCCACGCTAAGGGCCGCAGGGGAAATGAGACTCTCCCCGACATAGCCCCGCCCACCCTCATTGCCAACTCCAAGCCAGGGGCAGGGTGCAGGCACCCGCAGCGCTGCCTTTCCCACACCACCCCTGCCCTGGGGTGGGAGTGGGAGACGGCGATGCCTGCATCCCCACCTGTGACCTGGGATGGGCCCCTCAGCAGGCTGGAGTACAGGGACGCTCCTGGGGGCCTGCAGGCACAGCCTCACCCGGGCCTTTCCCCCAGGTGTGTGGCGCTTACCTCTCCACAGACTGGAGCGAGAGAAATAAGTTTGGAGGCAAACTGGGCTTCTTTGGAACCGGAGAATGCTTTGTGTTTAGGGTGAGTGACGCCAAGTGCTCCACAGCCCCCCGTGTAGACTCTGCAGCTTCATCCCCACGGGAGTGCCTGCCTGCCTGGGGACCCTGTTTGATTGTCGCCATGGCAGTCACCCAGCCGCGTCATCGACCTGCATGCTTCTGGGTTTGATCGTTCAGCCTCACGCTGCACAGGACAGGGGGCCTTATCTGCCTGAGCCACCAACTCCCCGGCCCCTGGCTCGGGCTATGCCCACCTTGGGCTCTGGGTGCAGATTCTTGGGATGAACGGGCTGTGGCTCTGGGGCAGAGGGGCCTGTGGGTGCCCTCGCCAGCTCCTCACACTGCCCTTCCACCCCAGCTGCAGCCGGAGGTGCAGCGCTACGAGTGGGTGGTGATTAAGCACCCCGAGCTGACCAAGCCCACGCCCTTGATGGCAGCCGAGCCCACCGCCCCGCTTAGCCACTCCACCTCTTCAGACCCCGCCGACCGCCTCTCGCCCTTCCTGGCCACTCGCCACTTCAACCTGCCCTCCAAGACCGAGTCCATGTTCATGGCTGGGGGCAGCGACTGCCTCATCATTGGTGAGCGCTAGCAGACGGGGCCCTGGGATGAGGGTGTGGGGGTCTGGGCCGCTGCACCCAGCCCTCCCTGACCGGGGTGGCAGAGAAGAGGCCCTGGGTGTCAGGGATGGACCAGGCACCATGGGTGGAAGGGTGCCGGGAGGGAGAGACCAGCCTGGACAGCTGGTCCTGGAGACTATGGAGGGTCAGGGGTCTGTATGGTTTCAGAGGCCTGCGCAGGGCAGGACAGCTGTACAGGAGGTGAGGTGCCCGGGGCAGTGCTGATGGGGCAGTCGGGCCCACTGACCTGAACATCCCACAGGGGGAGGGGGTGGCCAGGCACTCTACATCGATGGGGACCTGAACCGGGGCCGTACAAGCCACTGCGACACCTTCAACAACCAGCCCCTCTGCTCCGAGAACTTCCTCATTGCTGCCGTGGAGGCCTGGGGCTTCCAGGATCCTGACACCCAGTAACGGCCTGTGCCACGGTGACTGAGCCGAGGTGGGGTGGTGAGCTGGAGGCTGGGCTGCCACCTCAGGCAGCAGAGAGCAGATGAGACCCCCATGTGGTGGGCGGGGTTGGGGGACAGCAGGGCCCCATGACTGAGCCTAGCACTGCCCAGACCTGCTGCTGCCTCTACCCGGGGTTGTGCTGGGCTTCCCCAGTCCACCTGCACTGGGGTCAGAGCCGGACGGGCTGCCATGCCCCCAGCCCCACCCAGGGCTGGCATAGAAAGCACCTTCCTCCTCCGTGGAGGCGTCCTGAGCTCAAGGCCTTGGGAGTGCCTGGACCTTGCCGCCCCTGAGCCTCTCCTGCAGCCTGAGCCCCTGGGGTGGGAGTGGAATGGCAGCGGGAACGTGCCGCCAGGGGTGGGCTTGTGGTGCCCCCTGCTGGTGACAAGTAGCATCGCGCCCTCCCCAGCAGGGCCCTGCAGCCTGGCTGGCTGGCGGCTGAATCCCAGCGTAGATCCTGAGAAGAGACTGGCACCCTTAGGCCTGCCGCCTGGTGGGACCCCACCCCCTGCTCCAGGCCTTTGCCCCAGCTCCATCCCTAGGCCTCCTGGCCAGCTCTCATAGTAACCCTGCTTGGCCAGCTCTGAGGCTCCCCTGGGCTGCATTTAGGAGCTGCTGGGTGAGAAGAGGGGGGGATTTGTGCGGGGCTCCTCCCTCAGAGAGGGTGGGGGCTGGAGGGGATGTGACATGTCCTTGTGTTTCTGCAGAGCCTGAAGCTTTTGCTGGGCCTCCCTGTGTGTTCTCGTCTGAAGAGGTGGCCCTGGTACAGGCCCCCATGGACCGACTCAGACCAGCAAGCTCCATTTCCAGGGGTCTGCCCAGAGAAGCCGGGACCCAGGGTGCTTCTCAGCCCCTCCCTTCCAGCCCAGGCCTCCCTGAGCTCCTGCAGCCTCTGTGGCCACCCATTTTACCTCTTTGTCTTTGCCGTGACCTGGGGCCCAGGATCACGTCCAAGCCCCTCTTTGTGGCATGCTCATCTCTGTCCAGCCCCAGCTGCTTCTCTGCCCTGCGCCCTCCCCAGGCCCTGGTCACACAGTACCGAGGTCCTCAGCCACCTTGCATGGATGCATGTCCTCCCTCTGTCCCTCTCCTGGTGCTGTGGCTGGCCACATGTCAGGGTTTTCTGTGCATCTCTTACCTGACAGCCTTTGGGCCCCTGGGCCTCTGCCCTGCCTGAGCCCTGTGCTGGCCAGATGCAGGTAGACACCAAGGGAGGCCTTGCCTCTGGGTACTGCAGGGGGCAGCCCCCCACCTTGTGACCTCCTTCAGCTGGTCTTGAGGGTCTGGGCACCACGGAGGGGAGAAGGGAGAAGCAGAGACCCAAGTGGCTGTTCTGGGACCCTGGAGGCCTGGGTCAGAGACACAGGTGCCAGCAGTCCTGCCCCCATCCCCATCCCTGCTTGCCTCCAGCCAGTGCCACTTGGGGTCCCCTGCACCATGCTGCTGTCCATCCCCACACCGTTGCCTGCTCCTCCTGTGGGCTTTCAGCCTTCCCTGACCATCTGCTCACGTAGCCTCTGACTGGGCTCATAGCGGGGCAGGAGGAAGAACCTGGAACCTTGTGTGGCTTCAGGCAAGCTGACACACCTGTCTGGAACTCAGTTTCCCCAACTGTGAAATGGGGCCAGTCCCCCTGCCCTGCAGTCCTCCTCACGGGACTGTTGAGAGGCTCAGAGGGGAAGGTGTGAATCCCCCTCACTGGGAGAGGCATGGGAGGGAAGCTGCCACTCATCCCTCACGGCACACTGCAGCCCTCCAAGCCCCAGCCTCTGAGCCACCCCCAAGGCCTTGTTTGTACCGCCAGCGTTGGTGTTCATTACACACGGTCTTGCTGCATCAGCTCCAGGAGTCCGAGCGTCTGGTCTCCATGAGTCTGGTCTCTTCAGCCACCGGGGCCTCCAGGGGCTTCCTGGGCCTGTAGCCAAGCGGGTGTGGGAGGCTGCCCACTGAGGTGCTCACCCACATTCTACAGCGGGAACACTGCAAGCTCTTCCAGAGGGAGCCTTCCAGGAGCAGGGAAGTCACATCTAAGGACCATTTGTAGGTTTCCCTCTGCAAACTTCCTGAACTGGTTGGTGATTTCTCTGGCGAGTTAAGTCCAGCAGGTTCTGCCTGGCTGCCCCGGGGGCCCTGTCCGGCCCTTGTCGGTGATCCTGATCAGGAGGAAGGATTGCTGCTGGGTCATGATTTCCACATGATGAGCGAAGTTCTTTGTTTTGTGTGTGCATGCAAAATATGGTTTCTTTAAATTTCATATCTTTTCCTAACTTTTCTACTAACCCAGAAGGCATATGTGATTATTTCTTTTTTATTCTTATCATTGTACTTGTTATTATCTGATACTAGGTATTCCCAAATAGAACATAATTTATTTTCTTAATGTTCTCTATTTCTTCTTGATTATTTATTAGCTTTGGATGTTAAAAATTAGCCAAAAGTGGCTGCTCTGCCTATGAAGTAGCCATTCTTTATTAACAACAAAAAAAAAAGCTAAAATTTGATGAAACTGCATAATGAATTATCATTTGTTTTTAGAAAGATTTAAACATTTATTTTTTGATTTTTTTAATAGAATGCTTTGTGCTGAATAAATGTTTAACATTTATTTTTAAAACAAAAATTGAACCTAACTGAAAATAGTTTATTAAATGAATTCATTAAAGCAGATGATATGCCTTTATGGCTTCAGAAAATCAGTTTCAGCAAAGTAACTTATGAGAGCAAGTCATTTGTACTTGAATTTTTTTTATAGTTTTAATGAACTAAAGTATTTTAATTTCTTTCTATTTTTGTAAGCCACATGCTTCATTTTTTGAGTTTTTCAGTGAAATTTGTTTTAAAACATTTTGAAGATTTCAGAAGGCCTTCATATTTCTCTTATCCACTTTCTGAACCCATAAAGCCTTTGCAGTCTCCTTGAGTATTTTATATTTAATAATTTAGTTTTTATTTTGTACCTTTTTGTTTTGAAGTAATTTTTGATTTGCAGAAGAGTTGCCGAGACAGCACAGGGTTTCCATGCAGCCGCACCTTCCCCTGACGTCAATATCAAAACAAAGAAATGAACAGTGGTGCAATGCTGTTAACTAAACCACAGGCCCACTGAGACTGCCTCGTTTTTCCCACTGTCCAGGAATCATTTTAACTTTTACAGTTATTTACTTTCTCACATTTTCACTAAATCCAGAATGTCATCAAACTCACAAGACCAACACTGTTCCAGAACACCCAAATGACCACTAATTAGGCAATATAGCACCTGCCTCAAATTCGGGTTCACATGGATTCTTTTTTTCTTTTTCACCCATTTTGCAGAGAACGTAGTCTTCGTACGTTGCCCGGGCTAGTCTTGAACTCCCAGGCTCAAGCAGTCCTCTCGCCTCTGCCTCCCTAAGTGCTGGGATCTAGGTGTGAGCCAGTGTGCCTAGCTCATTTGGATTCTTGCTGGGTCTCTTTCTCAGCCTAAACGTCTCGTTTGCATGGAGAAATTATGAAATGAAGCAGGAGTGCCAAACAAGCCTCACAGGCTCTTCACCCTACAACTTCTATGTTAGGTGGGAAAGTATGGACTTTGAAAAATAATCTGGTATAAAGAGTTTTTTGTTGTTTTTTTTTTTTTTTTTTTTTTTTTTTGG